TCAAGGTCCACAAAGTACTGCACCTGCCACGAAATCTGCACTTCAAGGTCCACAAAGTCTTGCGCCTGCCACAAAATCTGCACTCCAAGCGCCACAAAGTACTACACCTGCCACGAAATCTGCACTTCAAGGCCCACAAAAAGTCCTGCGCCTGCCACAAACTCTGCACTCCAAGGCCCACAAAGTCCTGCACCGCAATGCACCCATTAGAAATAGACTGGTCCACCACATCTTTTTCCTGAGGAGATTCCCATCCAGGCACCTGCCGATGCTGCTACACCCATTCCAAACACTTCTCTGCTCTGAGCGCTCTGACAACGCCATGTAGGGCCTAACTTCGTGTGAACGCCGACTACTCCTCCTCCTGCTGCTGCTGCGCTGCTGCTGGTGCTACTGCTACTGCTACTACTACTACTAGTACTACTACTACTACTACTACTACTACTACCCCAACCACCCTCAGTGGGCTAGAATTTTTTTTTTTTGATTCCCTTTTATTTTTTTATTGATCCCCGTTGAATATCTTTTTTGATTCTATTTTTATTTTTATTTTGATCCCTTACCCCGCTTTGTGAGTGATTGTTGTCACCAACAAACCCCAGGACGTGAAGTTCCTGTGGGATGTCGATGAGAGCGAAGTTCAGGCCAAGTGTTCGGTCACGCCAACAGGTCGAAAACACCGTACGCTCGTTTCTGACATTTGTATTGCTTCAAGGCCTCCAGCTTGGGTGAATTGGCAGGTTCCTAAGAGTCTCAAGGTCTTGCAAGCAGAGGGATATTGACGAAATAGGAGGTTTTCTATGGCAGTGCCCTTGGTCATATTTGATGCTGCACTTCAATACAGAGTGGGCAAGCTTTTTCAAAACCTCACGAGGCACATGCCGCTGCGTTCCCCAATGTGCACTTCGCGCCTGGTGTGTGCGAGCACCCAAACCTCCCTGTCAATCTCTGTAAGCGTCGACTGCAGCAGAACTCGCAAGGCCACAGATTTTGGTGCTGGGCCATGTGGCGGCGTTTGTGACACACTGTGGTTTCTCGGATGAATGGAATTGACATGAAATTACAGACTTTGTTTCAATGTGTGTTCTGAACATAGGAAGTGTCATAAGCATGACTTTTGCTTTCGACAGGATGCGCGCGCACACACACACAGAGCAAAAGACATGGTCAGATTTTTTTACTAAAGATGCTGGTTGAACATGGCCCAGCAGTCGGGCTTTATCATACTATTCTGTCGTATAGACGCGCTGTGGAAACACTGTTCGAGTGTGCTCGGTATTTGAGGTCTGAACTCTGTCCACGAGGCTCTGCACTTTGGTGTGCCGATGCTGGGCCCAGAGCTCAGACTGAGCTGCGCCACTTTTGCATTGTCTTAGTCTTGTTCCATCTTGTTCCTATTGACGCCCGATTTGAAGCTTACTTCCCAAAAAAGCTCTCCATGCCGTTCAAAGCTGGGGGCAGTGGTTTTCCATGCTGTACAAGTGGCCTTTTCATGCCATCCTGGTTGTGTCTCTGCTGCAGTGTTTTGCTCGTCTCCACTAGGTATATATCTTGTTCCAGTCAGGAGTTTGCTGGTGTCGGTCCAGTGGGGGTCGCCTGGATACAACTTGGAGGTTCTTTTGATTCTGATTGGGATCATTGCTCTAGACTACTAGATGCCGCTGGCGTGTACTCTCGAGCGAACTGGGGTGCCCCTGC